TCTTGAAAACTGCTAAGGACCTTGCGTCACTAGTTGGACGTAAATTTAAAGGAGGGATTCCATCGCCAGGTAGGCTGAAAGGGTAATCATTAAAAATATTCAAAATTGCATGCTACAATATGCAATTCCTTCTTTTCGTGTAGTGTTATTCCATTATTTAATTTTGTATTTTAAAGTCTGAGATAATATTCAAATCGCATTCAATTGTTCCTTTGTTATAAAATGTACCTTCCGGTATAGCTTTATTTACCTGCATCCAACAATCTCAAAACGTACTCCTGAGGCATTGGGAAAATCATCTGCTGGGTTTAATATGAATTTACATAAAGCCTTTCTCATACACCTTCTGTGCGTGAATTAACTTGAAATAAAATTTCTAACAAACTTTTTTTTTTCGAAAAAAAAACTCCTACGAAAAAACTATTAAACCGGAATTGATTCACCTGTGGTGTGATCTGACCCTTAATATATCTGTAAGTTCAGATATTCTGTCATTTTAAGTTCCTCAATTCCCCGTGGGCACCCATAACATGTCCGGAAGTGGTCAATGTGGTCCAATGCACTCAATATTGTTATTGATCTTGTTATCGAATTTGGAAGTGATGTGAAGTGTCGAATGATAGGTTTTATTCCTTCCATGTCAAATTTAAGTCCATGGTCCAGAGCGTAAAATTATTGACTGCTTAGGCTGAGTGTGAAAGCACTGCACTACGAGGGGCACGCAATATAAAGAACCGGTGCGTGGATTTTAAAATGCAATCAAAAGTACTTAAAGTAATTAATGCGTTTTGAAGTAGTACTGACGGTAATTAAAATTATCTATCGGTAATTAATGTAATTAAAAGTATTGAAAATGTAATTAATGTACTTTAATTACGAATCTTCGAATGTAATTAATGGAGTTAAAAAGTAGTTAATGTTCTACATTGTGTAATTAATGTAATTAAAGCAGTAGTTAATGGAATTAATTTAAATACAGCCGTTGCCTGCGTTGGAGTTAAAGGTTATTGCGTGCCCCTAGCTGCACTATTCAATCCATTGCTCAAATGGTAAAGCTGGGTTTAGGCAGGGCAAGTCAATTGATCAAGTCAGTTGAATTCAACTGACTTGAACGCGAATTGAACGTGTAAACCATGCCCTTCAACTGACTTGATCAACTCACTTGAATTGAAAAAAGTTGAACCAGGCTCAACTTTTCAAGCCAATTGAATTCAACTGAGTTGATCATTTGACTTGCCTAGTCTAAACACAGCTTAAAGGACGAGGCAATGAAAGAGCCAGCAAATACATTCAGTCACTCACGAACAGGTGACTCACATCGCTTGCTTTCGCACACACAGCTGTAACTGAGGCATTTTTCCATGGAAAATGTACGCTCAGTGATTCAAAACAAGTATTGGGTATCATGACGGAAGAATAAACTTTGCTGACTGAGCTCCGCTGTCAGTGACTCGTTTACCTCTCAATCATTCAGACTCTCACGAGGCAGTGAATGATGAGACAGATGCTAGCTCATATTCATACGAAAATGACTCATTGAACTTGACAGTTTTGCGCACTGCCATGGTCCATATTTCCGGAACCAGTGGACCGATTCCAAAAAATATTCGATAACTTTCGATAGGACCACAATCCCTATAGTTTGTTGTTAAAAATTTTCCCAATCGGGTCAGTGATTCCGGAGAAAATGCGCCATAATGAATAGCCAATGCGTGAATTTAAAAAATAACGCAATGGAATTCAATTGTTTTGGTTTTTTTTTTGTAACGAATTCCTAAAAATTTATTTTTTTAATAACAAATTCATAAACTAAACTAGCATTTGCAAAAATAGGTCAGACCATCATCATTTTTTAGGTCCAACCAAGATCATAATTCTTTGCTGAATAAAAGCGATTTATAAAATCATTTGTTCATAATATTTAACTTTTTATGTTTTTATTAGAAACAAGAAAGGTAGATCTTTCCCCTAAGCACGCATTTTTCATAATTATATGTTGAATTCATAAAAAATACGACATGCATTTTGACGTCGTGTAAAACTGACCTAAATAGGTCCAACCATCATCAATTACCCTATTAGATTTATTATTCCACAACACTGGTTCAGCCTAACAACAAGACGAAATCAGTAGAGTAGTGGTTACCGTCTCCGCTTCCCAAGAATAAGGTCACGAGTTCAATCCCAAGCACAATCCTTTTTTATTTGTGTTCTTCATCTAATTAATTTAAATCGTTATCATCGATCGAATGACTCACGAAAATGAATTCACTGATCTAGTTTAAAAATAACCCAGCATCCTTTCCTTGGAAATTGGAGAGATGAAGTGGTAGAATTGGTCTAATGTAAAACAACGATGAACGAATTAATCATTCCCACTGGATCTTGAAGGAGATATAACTATAGAATCGTTATCGGGAGTGCTGATAGGTATTCAGCTTTAAGCAAGCTTTCGTTGGTTATTGAGCTGCCCATATGATGTATTCTAGGATAGTTTAGATGGCAAGGCAATCGGCCGTTGATCGGTTTGAATCCCACGCAACTACATGATACATTTTCTAATATCTGTGTGTGGTGCGCGTGCTTCGGCAGAAAAATGAAAACAATCACTAAACAAAACAACCCCCTGTCTTCCGTTCTTATTTTTCGGGTAAACGTTCCGCAGTTAAATAGTCGTTTTATAACCTTAACTTAACGCTGTTTAAGTAAGCAATGATGTCTTATAAACGAACGTCCTATAATCAAAAATTAGATCGAATAAGTTCTGTTACAACTCATGTAAGTCAAATAAAAGATTCTCGAAACGAATAATACAACACCAAGTAGTTCAATGTTATGGTTGAATATTAATATTAAGCAATGAAGTTGAATAAAATCGTCAAGAAGTCGTTTCTTCAATAGGCGATTGGTCGTTGGGCATCTTTCTTCATGACCATGACCATGAGATATTCTATATGTGTTGGAGAGTATCCCACCCCAAATTGGAAAAAGAGCGGCCATACGGAGTGGGTGCGATGTAATGTTTGGGTATCATTCATTGGGCTTGATCATCGCATAATTGGAGTTATGGAGTACGCACACACAGCGTTGCCAGTATTCTAGATTTATCTGGATTTTCAAGATTTTCAATCGTCTAGCAAAGTACACAGACAGATCACGTTTATATCCAGATTTTTTTAATATGTTCTTGATTTTCCCAGATTTTTTTTTCAAATATGTTGCTTTATAAATATCACTGCAATTAATGGACCCTCTAATCAAAAAATAAAAAGCCAAACTTGCTACTTTAATTACTTAAGTATCAATGTTGGACATTATTGCAATATCATACATGGAACTGTTACAGCATGTTTGCATTGCAGAATCATGAAAATTGAGACATTTTCTAAACATTATTGGCTGTACAAAATCTTCAAATTTTTAAAAATATCAAGCCAGAATTTTAGTGTGTTTCTGGTTAGATTTGGGCTATAATTAATATTTTTTGAATCCTGGATTTATAAAAATCAATATATCAATATGGAGGATTTTTCCTAATTCTGGAATTTAGTGAAATCGAAACCTGTTCAGGATTGAATACAATGAATTGAGCTTTGAAAAATTACCAAGGCTTTGGAATCTAGACAACCACTAGGATTTTGAAGTAGGGTAAATGTTGGCTTCGGCACCCATTGACTGTTTTCGGCAACCAAAATTTAAACGTTAATTTCACTATGTTTTCCCATCAACGCACTTCCCTGAATGTGTCCAAACGATTGTTTAGCCTTTCAGCTTCAATCTGATTATATTTGAACGATCGAGCAATCCAGTAATGCTACATTTTTCTTCAAATAAAGCATACGTACTACAAAATGAGGTTGATTTCGAGTTGCCGATAATAGAACAGCTGGTTAACACGCAGTTCTAATGGGAAGGTTGCCGAAGAAAAAGAGGCTGCCGACAATAGTCACACTCACCTGAGAAGTTTGGAGCGTTGTAAAAACGCTTTCAAAACGTTTTGAAAAATTCTGTCGATTGGAATGGATAGAGAAGCAAGCAGCAGATGAATGTAAACAAACAGACACATCATATATGTGCGTGACGCTGAGAAAATGCTAGTAGAAGTGCAGACGCTGCTTAGATTGACGAGAATACGTAAATTCCCCTATGTTTATGATATTTTTTAGAATAATCAATTAGCTTTTGAAATATAATTTTATAGTACCTGTGAATATTGAGTTATCTTAGTAGTCTGAAATACTTTAGAATTTTTTTTTATTGTTATTATAGTCACTTTAACACTCTTGGGTCATTCGTGACTTGTCCGGGGGTGAGATTTGAACTCGTGACTTTGGCGTGAGAGGTATGGATGTTAACCACTACGCCGGGGTCGCCCCCCTACTTTAGAATTCTGCATTGCCATAAATTTAAGAATTTTAAGGTAATTCTAAAATATTTTACAGTGCAGTGTAAGTATGCAGTCAGTGCAACCTTTGATTGAAGTGAAGACGGTATAAATTGTCTTTTGCAAATTCTGATGACAATTGCATGGAGATTTTTTGAAGAAAGGAAATAGTTAGAATTCAGAAGAAAAATCATAGACAATTCTTAAGATGAAACCAATGCTTTAGCGCCCATTACAAGTAGTATGAAAGCTGAGTGCCTCTAGTGGCGTAGTTTTACTTGGGTCCTATGGCCCATTCTTTTTTGGTCTAATCCTGAAAAATAAGTTTGACGAACACAATAAACTTTCATATTTTGAAATAAATGATCCAAATAGCGAATACCCCATTTACCGTAAGTATCCTTCGATTATTTTTGCAAGTTGTCTGATTTAGTTCATAGCAAATATAACTTCTATTTAAAACATTCCCTCCTCAAACGTGAATCATTTCATCGCCATCGATTCCATCCTCCGCCAATAATTCAAACGCACCCATCCATTCGCAATACTAATTGGCATTCATTCCATTTCAGCATAGTTTTGAACTTGTTTCCCTAGTATAATTTTATCTACTCTCGATCCATCACGATCGCGATACGCATGGCAGTAGTACTCATGCATCTGGAATACAAAAGTTTATCGATAAATCTACCTGAAATCTTTCTCTACATTCAAGTTCCCCCCTAGCCCAGTTATTGCACCGTTTGATTTGCCGTGCATCTTCACATATGATGCTAATCTGCATAGTGTTTCGTTTCCGTCCTCTCCTTCCCTGGAATCTGGCTCCAATTTTTTTCTTGTTAACAAACTGTGCACAGCTTCACTTACAAGCAATGATGCTAGGCTGCACTATTACATATATAGGTAACGATCGTGTGACGTTGCGAGAAAAGCACCTTCAATCATATCAAAAGTAGCCTAGTGCTCACGTTGTGGACGTTGTAACGACCAAGAACCGCTCGGTTGGTTGGCCGGATCGCCGGAGAAATTACCATTTGACACGCCACCACCGCTCTACTAGACGTACTTGCTCAGGTCCTCGTGGAAGTCGTGCAGGTAGGCAATTAGCTGCGGGAACGAGGGACGCTGCTTGTAGTCCTGAAGCCAGCAGCAGGACATTACGGTGTAGCTGTGGATGGGAGAAACAATGGCACATGAGAAAATGGGGGAAACAAACTGGTGTAGGGTTAAGATCTAATGTCCGTCATACTAAGCACAATCCGAACTTGACTACTTTTTTTTTCCACCGGGGTTGAACAAAAAATTGAATGTTTCTATCAAAGATGTTTTTTTTTAATTTATGCACCTTACCTTTGATATAATCAATCAATTTCTTGTTCAAACCCGTTCGAAAAATAGAGGTCAAGTGCGGATTGTTAGATTTGATAAAGAGTCACAAATTTTAAAAATCTAACACTACTTCTTGATTTCATTTCCGTCGAAACACATTGAAACGTCATTGGTTTCACTTAGGCTTACGTATAAAGACAGAAAAAGGATTCGCTAGTTTTGAGTTTGAGAATAATGAATGTAAATATTCATACTAGGCGTACTTATACACTTTGTTCTGCACCTGTTAAACGAAATCAGAGATATATTTGATGAATCTTCTAGATTTGACGGAAATGAGCGCTTATGCCGAAGTACTGCTCCACCCTATTAGCTTACATTCTATGCTTTCGTTTTTTTTATGCTCTTACTATCGTTGGCGTCGTAAGTACTCGGTATGGGTATTTTCCCACTGAGCTGCAACCGCGGAGGAGAGGGATGTGAAAGCGTGTGAAGAACTTTTTTTCTGGGTTTATGACAGTCGTGTCGGGTGAGATTAGTCCGGCCGGAAGGTGTTATCGGACTAAGAGGATTTAGGGTTGGAATGAATTTATTGTGACCAGCGACCGAGCGAGCCCGTGAGAGATGCGACATGTTCATATGGTTGAAAGGAGATTTTGTGAAAGGTTGGTTGGGATTGGGACAATGTGTTGTAAGCACTAATTACATCGATGAATGAATTAATTTTGGCTCCGTTGATCCTACGGATCATATGGATTTGTTTTGTTTTATTTACTCAGTGTGAGATTGGTGAATTTATTGGTTGCTGTAAGCGATCCATTCCAGTGAGATCGTAGCAAATATGTTTGCTGGAAATACGTAGTGACTATCAAATCTAAATTAATCACGGGATTACAACTACAATTAGTTGAGGAATATTCCATTCATGATGCTTTCAGTCTAGGAACGGTAGGTTCTGGAATCATAACGTGTGACCGTTATATGCGTGATGAGGAACCTTTATGAAACATCTCATCAGTGTTGCGAAAAAAATAAAAAATAAAACTCAAATATCATGCTTGTCACAGATTAGTTTTACCTTGCGAAATTCAAGTCACCGATGAGCATTCCGGATCTTTGCTTTACATTTATTTATTGTTTTTTTTTAGCATTATTGGATGAAAAACTAACCAAACATGCATATGCATACAATCAACTGAAGTTTGGGTGGTTTTTTATGAGTTTTAAGGTACGGCCGCACTGGCATCCGATATAGGACGACACGATCCCGAAGAAACGTGCGCAATTTTTTGGCTCAGCTCTGGTACTCTATTCGGTCCCAAGCAAATCGATACCTTACCTTACCAATCAGGCTAAGGCCTTGTTGTCCTCTGCTGTCCGAAGAAGTCGTCTCCACTCTACTCGATCCATGGCCACACTTCGCCAGCCTCGTAGTCTGCGAAGGGTTCGCAGGTTGCCTTCTACTTGGTCGATCCACCTTGCCCGCTGCGCGCCTCTTCTTCTTGTTCCTGTTGGGTCGCTTTCTAGAACCATTTTCACTGGGTCGTCGTGCGGCATTCTTACGACGTGCCCAGCCCACCGTAGTCGCCCATTTTTTGCAATGTGGACGATAGATGGTTCTCCCAGCAGCTGGTCCAATTCGTGGTTCATTCGCTTCCTCCACGTTCCGTCATCCATCTGCACTCCACCGTAGATGGTACGCAACACCTTGCGTTCGAAAACACCAAGGGCGCGTTGGTCCTCCACGAGCATAGTCCAGGTCAGCGTCTTGTAGACAGTCAACTTGGTGCGGCGGCGAATTTTATTAGACCGGAGCGTCCTCCGGAGTCCAAAGTAGGCACGATTCCCTGCCATAATGCGTCTTTGAATTTCTCTGCTGGTATCATTTTCGGCGGTCACCAGTGAGCCCAAATACACGAACTCATCGACCACCTCGATTTCATCACCATCAATCTGAACTCAGGGTGGGAGGCTAACATTGTTTTCCTTTCATGTATTTTGTCTTTGATGCGTTGATGGCAAGTCCCTTTCCGCCTAGCTTCAACCTTCAGTCTGATGTAAGGGAGAACAGCCCATAATGCACCCCTGGGGTAAAATGCCCACTTATAGAAAAACAGCGATAACTTTTCCTCAGATGCATTTTCCGGGTAACGGATTGTGTTTGTTTTCAACTAGAGGTTTCACAGTTGATTCTTGATCATAAAATCATATTTTGACCTACTGATTCCCTTAGAAAATAGCATTTTGTGCAAAATATGATACAGTTGTTAAAATCGTCGACTTCAAATTAAGCTTTTAACAGCATATATCGCAAAAAATTGAACTAATTCACTTTTCGTATATTTTTTAGATGTTTTACTTAATGCATCACAGCTTAACACTCTTGCGACCTTATTTCTGATGTAACATAAAGGAATAATCAACAGGCGTCAGATCACCATGAATCAGGCGTTTTGCCCCGCTATCATATTGGAACCAATTTATAAAATACCTTGAAAATCATGAAAATGCATCGTTCTATAGTTCGAAATCACTTGATCTTCGTAGAAAACATGGTAATGAACCAAACACCATTACTTTCTTCTTGATTTTAGCTTCCATACGCCAGCAATTGACGATTTTGCTTAAACGGTGCGTTTTGCACCATCCTACCCTACGTTTCCGACATCGTCTCAAAGTTCCGTGCCATGATGTCAATGTCATCGGTGAAGCCAAGAAGCTGGTTGGACTTCTTGAAGATCGTGCTACTCGTGTCTATCCCAGCTCTTCTGATCACACCTTCTAATGCGATGTTGAATAGCAGACACGAAAGTCCATCACCTTACCGTAACCCCCTTCGAGATTCAAAGGGACTCGAGAGTGTCCCCGATACTCGAACAACGCACATCACTCGATCCATCGTTGCCTTGACCAATCGCGTCAGTTTGTCCGGAAATCCGTACTCGTGCATAATCTGCCATAGCTGATCTCGATCGATTGTGTCGTATGCGGATTTGAAATTAATGAACAAATGATATGTGGGCACGTTGTATTCGCGGCATTTCTGCAGAACCTGCCGAATCGCAAAAATTTGGTCCGTGGTAGCGCAAGTGCACCCATGAATCCCGCCTGGTATTGCCCCACGAACTCTCTTGCAAATGGTGACAGGCGGCGGCATAGAATTTGGAAGAGTAACTTTGTAACGATAACTTTACAACCCAATAGCATTTAATAAACATTTCGCCTTTAATTATACTCATTAGACTGCACCCGGCTTAAGCTACTCGATACCCTACCAACACAGTACCATCCCAAACTGCTCGAATTGATCTTCCAGTGTATAGGCGATCGAGAGAAAAGTTTTTATTTAATTTTCCCACGACGCAATAAAATGAATTTGCCTCACTCAAACGCTATTACATTTTGTCTTTGGGTTTGATTTAAACGACGGAAATAAATTTGATTGGTTAATCCAAGGTCATGGGACTTGAAAGGATTAACCCAGAACACATTTAAATGACTTTTGTTGGAGTGCTTAGATTGTTCGGTTCGATTTTTATAAAGCGGAATAAGTTTTGAAATAGTAAAGAAAAGTTTGAATTGGTTTAGTGGTGAATTTTTGGAAAAGCCTAGAACAAATTTACTTTAGTGAATTGTATAAGCTGAACCTAAAACAAATAGTGAACATTGGTAGTATTTAGAACCAGGTCCCCCATTAACGTGGGACTTTGGTTGGGATCGAGAATCCCCTATTTCGAGAGCGAATAAGGCTAATAGCGGTCGTGGATAAAGCAGGTGGTAGACTATACCCGTGAACACTACACGTGGTCCTCGAGACCGAACAAAACGTTACCCTGCACTCCCCTAATACGGAGACGCATTTACTCCGTCCACCTCGTAACAACACACACCGCATCCTTCGGAAAATATTAGTACCAAACCGCCGGCAGATTCTAACCTCTCGTCGTCAAGTTCGAGAGAAGGTGAGTCATCAGACGTTACGCACGCGAGGGTTCTCGCTTAGCCTGGACAACCATCCGTAGCAGATGTAGAGTTCGTCTCGTCGTAGAGGAGCCACTCCGACAGCACCAGCACGGCCGATGAATGATAAAGGGTTATGAAAACAGGTCAGTGATCACTGCTTAGGACATCTTTGAGCTCATTGATTAGATTGGACTGGTTCAAATAAATCCCGGGTCAGAATATCAAATGATCGATTAAATTAATGCAAACGTTTGAAATCGCGTTTCGAATAAATGTTCTGAATGAACACTTTGGCTGTGCGCTTCCATGAGAGTAGTTTGCGTTCGTTTTTAATTAAAAATAAAGCTTCTCGTAATTGATTTTGAGTTAGATTATTGGTTGTATGACGTTTCGATTTACTCGCCCGCAGATTGGGAGTTTCAGGCAGGGCATCCCTGAAATAATTTCCGCTTTCGACCTCCGGTAAGGAGTGGCGCTTAAGTCGTTTGCAGGTTTGAAAAGAAACTGAGCATTTCCTGTATTTCGGGGACTGAGCAACACAGCAAAAAAATAATTTTGATATCACGTCAAAGTGGATGCACTACAATCGTGTCGAAAATATGGTGTAATATTACTTGCTAAAAAGGACAAAATTATCAATAATACAATGCATGAACTGACATTACGCTGCTTTTACTGCATTTGTTTATTTATGTGGTCATAAAAATTACATGAAATTTTCGACATAATTGTAGTGCATCCACTTTGATGTGATATCAAAATTATTTTTTTGCTGTGAATGTAACGCTTGGTCGTTCGTTCGTTGAGAAAAGTTACGCGTTACACCTAGTAGGCAGGGCTCAGCAGTGTGATCACGCGGTTGTTGCAGTAATCCAA